GTTTCAAAATATCCCATCTTTAAATATGATTTTTCATATTAAGGAAAAAATCTGACAGGAATTCATCAATAGACGATAAGCAGAAATACACTATGTACATAAAGAAAATGAGTAACAGAAGTAAGGAAACCTAGAGACAAGTCAAATGAATTCCAATGTAGTTTACCTAAAGGATGCAGAAGGCAACACAATAATTCTCTTTTTAAAAACTTGACCCAATCATTTAGAGAAATAGGTTATCATACGAACATAAAGTAATTGTTAAAAGAAATAGCAAGCGGGATAGTTGGTGATCAATTATAATTAAATGTGACAAATAAAAAATGGGATAAAAGGGATGAGAATGTATATTTACCAGAGAGAGAAAAGGTTGAATCCTGCATATGGCGACCGCCAGATCGAGTGGGCGGTCTAATATGTCCAGAGAATGCTGGATCCCCGTTGGGATCAGAAAGAAGGGCAGAATTCTCAGAATCACCCAAAGAAATAGAGGAAATCATTGCAGATGCGAGCTGATTAACATCAAGAAACGGACCAGAATAGGGCTCGCGGTAGGAGTAAGACAACTTTCGAAACTATAGGGGATAAAATGGTAGGTAAAAGATAGCAGTTTATCAAAGTAATTGATATACCCACATTTTCCTTTGTCTGAACACGCCCATAAATGTGGTGAGAAAATGGTTGGGTAGCAAGAAAGCGACCGGCGCCTTGTGAAACTCGTAATTCACCATCTTCTAATACGACGCGACCACCTGATATAACCATCCAAATGTCACCATGAATTTGCATTCCCTCAAAAATATTGAGCTCAACATTTTGATGATGCGATGATGATGAGATAGTCTTTTCAGACTCAGGATCCCATATAACAATATCAGCGTCTGATCCCGTATCGATACGTCCCTTACGCGGATATAAGTTGAATATCTTTGCTGCGTTTGTGCTCGTTACAGCCACAAACTTGCATGGATCAAGTAAACCGGAAACCTAAAAATAAAATATAAAACAGCAGTAAAAAAATAAGGTATCTTAAGAATTTTATAAGACATCAACTCACAACTCCTTTCTCCCAAAGAACGGACATGCGATCCTCTACTCCATTTAAACCATGAGGAATTTTGCGAAAATCATCTTTACCCAGGGCTTTCTGCTGAGCTCGGAAAACACAGTGATTCGAGCCAGTACATTCCAAGTCTCCATTAGCCAAACAGTGCATTAGCTTTTTGGAAGCATTCGTCGCTAATGGACGCAAGGGAGGACTAACAACGTGGGCAGCAGAGTGCCACCAACAAGGATGCATGCAATGAGAGCCATCAACGGCTAACGCAGCAATTAAAGCCTCTCCCCAAACTAGAGCACCATTGCGTCTGGCTTCAGAAATACTTTGCGCAACTAGGGTGCTGCTTACACTAGTTATATAGAGGGGACAAAATATTGAATCAGCATAAGTAATGACACGATTTGCAGCTTCAACTTCCGACTAAAAATAATTTATTTTAGGATTAAAATTTCCTTTGCCATTGAAATATATAATGTCGAAACGTACGGCTTCCGGACGAGAGTAAAGATGTCCTTCCGGACCAGTAATTTGGAGATTAAAAACCTCATCTTGTTTTTTTTCAATCAACTTGCCATTTTCAGCGTGAACAAGAATCAGTGCTCCAAGTCGTTTACAGCACTCCATGGCCTCGAGTAATTCATCCTCCTCTAGCATAAATACTCCCGGGTATGCAAGGTAGGCCATAAATGAATTGATGCCCTTTTCTTTCACAAGAATCTCCATTTCCGAAGCAACTTTTTCGTCATAATGTGGAATTACCACATGGAAAGTATAATCACAACACACTTTTGAGTCTGCACACTCGCGAAATTGTTCAAATGCTTTGACAATCGAGGCTCCTCGTTTGGGGTAGACAAAATCAACTAAAAGAATAAAAATTAAGTGAACAAACTTATCGTCGTTGTTCCTCCGGCGAGCGCAGCTTTTGTACCACTATAAAAGTCATCACTGCTTACTGTGTCCATGAATGGCATTTGCATATGGGTATTGGTATCCACGCCACCTGGAAAAATAAGCTTTCCTTTAGCTTCTAGAGTTCTGACACCTCCCGGTATCATTAAGCTTGTTCCTATTTGTCTAGAAAAATTTGCGCCTAGCAGGATTATTTACTTGATGATACCATCTTCTATGTATAAATCGGCTTCGAACATGCGGTCATCATTAACGACCTTACCGCCACGAATAAAAAGACGATTTTGTGAACTCTAGATCAGGAAATAATCGATCTAAAATTAATAAAACCTGAAGATGAAGGGGAAGCTTCTTTAAGCCGACTTGAACCCGCGAATCATTCATCACCGAGA